CGACGGCCGAGAAGAAGCACGACGGGCGGGTGAAGATCGGCCACTACATCCTGGGGGACACGCTGGGCGTCGGCACCTTCGGGAAAGTGAAGGGTGAGGACGCCCTGGCCGGCGCGGACCCCGCGAACGGCGGGCGACTGCGCCTCTTCGCACTCCGCATCCTTCCCCGCGCCCGCCTTCCGGGTGTCTGAGCTCCGTATCCCCGGTCCGGGCGGCGCTGGGAGCGGAGCCCGAGGCCGCCGCGGGCTGCAGAGCTGTGGGGTCCACCGCGGTGGGGTGGGGGCGGTCGCCATGGCGACGGCGCGGCGCCCGAGGGGCGGGGATGGCTCTGGGTGCAACTTTGCCAGGCGAGGGAGTTGGGCACTGCGGGCGCAGGGGCGTTCGGAGCGGACGAGGGGGTCTCCTCTCGTCTTCTGATCCTCTCTGCGCCCTTGGCGCAGAGCCAGCCCATCGCGCCCTGGCGGTCCTCAGAGTTGTCGCTGCCTCGCTTTTAGGAGGTTGTCGACCTAAGTGCTTCTTCAGTTTACTGAATCGAATTGTGTCCTTCCAAAAGCAAGGTAGCTGTGAAGCTATCTTTCAGAAATAATAATGCCCTTGTAAGGACTATTGATCTCCATCAGGACTTTTGATGGATATGCCAGTGAACCGGCGCTGTGTTTCCTATGCGTGGTTTACGGTTGGATGGAGAAGCTGCTTTAAGTGTTTCCGTTTTCGGAAGTTTTGCGGTTTCTGGGAGCCATACCTGGTAGGTAGGGCATCTGTTAGCTCCAGATGGTATTTATTAGCTTATAGGTACAATTTCCGTTTATTCTCACAATATATTTATATTTTAGGAATTCAGTGCCCATCTTTTGGACTTTTTGTTTGTTTTGGTAGAATCCCCTGCCTTAGCAAAAGCACAAGCATTCGGTCTTCAACAAACTTGTTCTCTAGCCCACCATCTGTGACGAGGAAAATCCTAATTACAACCTTTGTGAGATGGACCTTTTTCCCCTTTAAAATATTTAAGCCTGCTATTAAGTATTTAGAGGAAGGAAGTTTGGAGCTGATTAGAAATAATTCATGCATTGGTTTTGGAGAAATAATAGACGATGACCTGCATATAGTAAGCTCTTAGAAGGTATTCGATTGGAATGAAAAGTTTGTCAGATTACACAGCAAGCTAACTGAGCTCTGTTCTCCCAGGAGGAGCAGAAGAGCCCTTCCTTCTCTTGCCCTTTCCCAGTTCTAGAACTGAAAATTGCTATGTAACCCTCAGGGGACAAATGCTTAAACCTTCCTAGGAAAATCAGCAAGCCACACAGTAGGAGGGAGGAACAGGTGCGGTCTCAGGCAGTAGCACTGATCACAGTAAGCCCGTGAGATGTTTGTGAACACTTTCAGGGTTTTGCTTTGTTTCCTTTTACATAGGCATGTATGCATCCATGCATTTCCTTATTCCAAGAGAGTGTTACAATGCTGTCCAGGCTGGCTTTGAACTTGTCATTCTTCATTGCCTCAGCCTCCTAAGTAGCTGATATAACAGGCAGCCCTTCCAGTGTTTTGTTTACCTTTAGCTAGTTTGCTGTACTGCTTGTTTGCCAGTGCTTTTTAGTTGATATGTGTTGCTAAGAAATGCTTAGTAAGGCTCTGACTGAAGTGATAAGGCAGGCTTGAACTAAGAAGAAGGCTCCTTCTGAAGGTCCTGCTTGGAATGTGGCTCCAGGTCCAACATTCCTTTGACACAGACCAGAGTGGCTCAAGCAGAAAGGAAGAAGAGATTGTTTTCAGTTCTGGGATTTGACCTGGGAAGTACCAGTGACTCCTTGAGTTTCCCTCCCAGTGACTCTGCTTTTCCTTAACCTTCACTTCTCCACCCACCCACACAACCTTCTCTTGAAACACTATCCCGTCAGTCATAAACCTCCTCCAATCCAGAGGGCCAGTGTGAGTCAGAGGGTTATAGACTTCATGGTTATAATTAAACTTGTCCTTGAACTTATTAGGTTGGCGTGGGTCTAAATATTCAGCCAGTTCATTTTAAAACTGTTAAACGGTTGGGATGCTTTTTTTTTTTTTCTTTTTTGATGTTAGTAATAGAAACCAGGACTTGCTGTGATCCTCTCCTTACTAAGGAATAGCTGGACTGCCATATGTCATTTGGTTTATGCATCCGAAAGGGAATAGCATGACTGTCTTAGTTAGGGTTTTACTGCTGTGAACAGACACCATGACCAAGACAGCATTTAATTGGGGCTGGCTTACAGGTTCAGAGGTTCAGTCCATTATCATCAAGGTCGGAGCATGGTAGTTTCCTGGCAGGAATGGTGCAGGAGGAGAGTTCAACATCTTCATCTGAAGGGTGCTGGCAAAATACTGACTTCCAGGTAACTAGGATGAGGGTCTTAAAGCCCACACCCATAGTGACACACCTACTCCAACAGGGCCACACTTTCTAATAGTGCCACTCCCTGGCCTGACCATATATACAAACCATCACAATGACCATAGCAGGAATGTGATTCAGGTTTGAATGTGTGATAGGGAGGGACAGGCATTTTCTTTCTTTTAGTACCTGGCTACAGTGCGTAGTTCTGTGTGTGCTTGCTCTTGCTGGAGGGACACTATAAAGAATGAGTATTGTTAGGTGGGAGAGAGAGTGGGAGGCAGGAATGTGCAGAGTGGCTAAAAATAACCGCTGTGTCTGGTCATATTGGAAATTAACCCCAGTCTTAGGTTGACAAGAACTCTTTTTTTTTTTTTTTTAAATTATCTTTATTTTATGTGCATTGGTATTTGCCTGCATGTGTGTCTGTGTGAAGGTGTCAGATCCTCTGGAACTAGAGACACAGGCAGTTGTGAGTTGTCATTTGGACGATAGGAATTGAACCCGGGTCCTCTGGAAGAGCAGCAGTCAGTACTCTTAACCACTGAGCCACCTCTCTAGCTCCCATCTCTAGGAATTCTTAGGGATAATAGCATCGGCCGTAAGTTTTATGTATCTATATATCTATGTATTATGTACATACTGATCTATCTATCTATCTATCTATCTATCTATCTATCTAATTGGCTTTTGATACAGGGTTTCTCTGTGTAGCCTTGGCTGTCCTGGAACTCATTCTGTAGACCAGGCTGCATTTGCACTCAAAGATCCACTTGCCTCTGCCTTGGTCTAAAGGTGTGTGCCACTACCACCCTAGCCTTGAACTCTAATTGAGAAAATGTAGAGTACATTTTTCAAATACTATGCATGTTGGTAAATTTAACATAATAGAATCTAACAGAAAACGTGATACTGATAGATGGATAAATCACCCATAGTTATTTAGTGCTTCCAGGGAATTTAAGCATGTTTTGGTTTTCTTTTTTCTATTTTTATTATGAGGTAGGGTCTCATTTAGCCAGGTTGTTCTCAAACTCACTATGTAACTGAGAACAGCTTTGGACTTCTTATCCTTCTGTGTCTACCGCTCTAGTGCTGGGTTTCAGGCCTATGTGCCACCATGTCTGGTTTTATATAGTGTTAAGGACTGAACCCAGGGGGCTCCATGCATGCTAGCCAAATGCTCTACCAACTGAGCCATATCCCCAGTCCTAGAAATTTAATTTTGGGGCTAAATTGATAGTAGTTGTCTTATTATGAAATAAATAGTAATGAAAAGAATTGAGTTACTTAATGATAGCATTTGGAGGGGAAAGTTTAGTTTGGGGTTATGCTTGAATTATTATTTTCAAGGTATTCTCCCCCCGCCCCCATTTGTTAAGGTATTAATCTCTACTCCTTTGCTTGTTGTCTTCTACTTCCCATAAAACAGTTATTAAAGCATGGACAGTCATGTTATTACAATAGTACAGTCAAATGCCTGTTCTTGACAACTTTTATGGGTTGCCTTCATGAAGCACACTCGTCACTTCTACAGATAACCTGTTGGTGATCATTTCTACATTAAGCCACTCTTTCAGTTAAATAGATACTCTTCTCTCTGAATGAATCAGAAACATTTCCTTAAGTTAGAAAAAAAAAAAAATTCTACATATTGGCTGGAGAGATGGCTCAACAGTTAAGAGCACTGACTGCTCTTCCAGAGGCCCCGAGTTCAATTCCTAGCAGCTACATGGTGGCTCACAGCTATCAAAATGGGATCTTATTCCCTTTTATGCTGTTTGTGAAGACAGAGCACACACACTCACATATACCTACACACCCACACACACAAAATAAATGAATATAAAACCCACTACATATAATATGTACATATATACATATGTAATATATGTGGCATGAGTGACTTTTTAGAAAATAAAATAAGGCATCAAAGGGGTTGTAGGGCAGGGCATGGTAATATATACTTGTAATCTCAGCACTCAGGAGGCCAAGACAGGAAGGTTGAAAGTTTGAGGCTACCCTGGACTGTATCAGGAGTTCCAGGCAAGCCTGAGCTATGTAGTGAGACTGTCTCAAACTACTAAACTCAGCATGCCTGTCGTGTTAACACTGGAGAGAATGTAAGGCCATTCTTGATGAGATAGTGAGTTTGTGTCAGGCTGGGGCTACATGAGACCCTGTTTCTAAAAATAGAAATACAAGTTCATGTTATAAAGACTATGTACAGTCTGATATTTATATGGATTACAAGAAACTTGTCTAATACCAGTATAAATTAATAATATCTATTGTGGGCATATATATACTGAAGTTAGCCTACCAACTGGATTTGTAGGAATTTATTCTGTAAATATGCATGTGCTTGAAACATTGTATTTTTCTATACCACATATGTAACATAGAAGCTTAGAATTAGCTGGGTGTGGTAGCACACACCTGTAAACCCAGTAATCGGGAGATAGAGGCAGGCAGGAAGGTTAGGAGTTGAAGCATAGCCTCTGCTACAA